TTGTCCGTACGTTCTATGTACCTATAAAAATTGTTACTCTGGTTGTCAAAAGAGACATCAGCCTCGTTACTTCCGAAATAACTCGGCTTTCACCATGAAGCATCATAACTCTTCTAAATGAAGACCTTCTAACTCCCAAGGAATAGTTTAAGTGGTTTGAATTATTTTTCCTGTTTAGCGTTTTTTAGAGATTTAGTTTTCTGTGGGATAGGGTCGCTAACCCCCATGCCCAACTCTCCTCCTTTATCCGGACTTAAGACCGGCAGTAACTCTACAAAATCTATAGGCGGAGTTCTTACAACCACTTACTGTCTATTTATATGTTGTTTTTTTTATCATTTTCTTTCCCTACAGCATTTCCATATGGTGCAAAATCTTTTCAAGTTTAATCGATTAGTAAAATCAAAATCTCAATAACACTATGACCTGGTAGTTTACGTACGTTCGTACAAACGTATGTACATGTTGTAATCTGTTGTAAAGAAGATGAGAATTGAACAGTTTGTCGTTGGAAGAAGTGTGTGTGTGTGTGTATTCGCATATACATTTATTTGTATTATTAACTGTTCCAATCAATATTAGTTTTTATTGGGCCAATATTCTGTAATTTTTAGTCTTTTAGTATAATTTATTATGTGTATATCATTTTTTGCATAGTTCATTTGGTTACTTACTGTGTATTTCACGTTTTTTACAAATACTTTATTAATAATGAGCAATTTTCCTCACTTAATTGAAGTAAGGAATATAAACTATTCACTTATGAAAAGAAGGATAATGGTTAGTAATGGAATCCAGGATGCATGTTTCGTCCTATCTTTGCTTAAAAAGCTTGTAACTTAAGGCTATATCGAGGCAATCTGCACAGGATGCACATATGTCAACATGAGACTGATCAATTGCAGTTCTAACTAACAATGGGAAGAGACAAGTGAATTTAAACTTCACCCGACTGCACAAGCAAGTGGCTATCAGGACTCAGTAGCTAAGTAGTAATCACAATTGATTGATCACTGGGTGGTGATCAGTGTCATGTGTGTCAAGTCCTTCTTAATGCAGATAGAATGCTATCTACCAAGTTGCAATGTGACCACCAGTCTAGGTGACTCAACACTATATTGAGATTAAATGGTGGTTGGAGGTAATCGACAGGAAACCCCCGGGTCCAGGGTAAAACAACAAGTGAATTTATTCACTTATGAGTTTATGAATTAGTTATTTTAAAGGTGTTTTAGTCATTGTGATAAATGAAAGCTGTTAGTTAAAGACTTATCGATGAGTCTGATACTATAAAACGAAATAAACGTCATGTATTTCTCGATTCTTAGTAGATTACTTTCATCTGGTTATTGATACCTCTGTGGCATTGCTCGAACATGTTGCGAACATTGAATGAGCAATGCTGGTATTAAACATCGGGTACTGGATTAACTATGTCGAATAGTTCGATTAGATATTTAGTCTTTAACTAAGGTGGTTGTGACGCGTATTAGATATACCCAATTACCCTATACATCGACACACGACGTTCGCTGGTGTAAGAATATGTTAGAAGAAAGTTAGAGGCAGTCAAATCAAAACGTGGCATCACTCCATAAAGTTATTGACTATTAATTTGAGTAATATTGATTAATGTATACCACTTGATTGGATTAAACGCTATTGTACCTGAGTATCGGATGCAATAACGCAGATTTATTCACTCTGTTATCCCTTAGATCTCAAGTTTCAAAATTATCTTGTACTTTTCATTTATTCATGTCCATATCTAATGCTCTCCAATGTCCCTAATACTGTTGCTGCTTCGACAACTATGGCAATTGTGTTGACATTGTAGTATTCGATGTACTGATGATAAAGTGAATTAACTTAAAATGATCCATATATATGCCAGATTCCACGTTATAACTGATTAATGGTTGATGTTAGTTAGTAACAGAAACTGGTTTTATATAATTTCGATATTCTTATATTACGAACACATCTAGTTGTGAATACATTAACGTCTACTTATTCACTATTATCATCCTATTACAATATTCTTTTGAAGGTTCCAAATAGTAAAAGAGGCATGGGTTGAAAATTTTAAATACACTTTCTGAATTATAATACTAAAGAGCAGTTGATTTGGATTGTAGACCCCAAATGCTATGGTACGCCGAGAGTGGGGAGAGTCTGCTCTCGCTCTCGAAATGCTGTCATATGGCCACGTGTATATAGCCTCTGCTAAGGAAGTCCTATTCACTGCCTCCTCGTGTCTGGGATGTTGTTTACGAAATTGAGAGGACGAAAAGCAAATGTTCGGCGCTTTAACCGGGTTGGTGGATACAGAGGATTCACCTAGAGGAGTTGGAAAATCCTGATTCCAAACCAATGGTGCACATAGGCTCTAGTATCTTGAAGGAACAAATGGCGTATGAACCAGTAGTTGGTCACTGGCTACCATGTGGCTGCATCTTCTTACGATGCTCCACTGCCTTGTGGATTAGACCTTTAGGTCAAATGCTCGGGGTTTGGCCCCCTAAGAAAACTACCCATTTCGTCTTGGGCACCCGAGCAGTATCATAGCCCTCACACAAATCTCATTTGATTTGTGTGACGCATATGTATTCGGTGCCTCCTTTTACTAATATATGTGTTAATATAAATAAATAAATCTATAATTACGTTGATCAAGTGTAATTCAGATGCTATGTAAGAGTCAATTATCAGTATATAAGCAGGTTATTAGTGTGAGGTCACTCTAAGCAATGGAATTTGTTGACAAATAATCGGAGACATGGTGCAGAAAATTGCAAGTACGTTGAAATAGTTTAGTTTCTAATTAATCATGTTGGAATCGGTTCATGTGGTAGATTTGTCTTCCAAGAGTCTAACATATCTAATCTCTGGTACAATCGAAATCCATTTAGCCGATTTATGACACATTGTCGTAACTCCCACAGTCCTAACTAATTTGACTTTTAGAAGCTGTGAATCTTCAAATGTACTATTTAGTGGTGGCAGTTTTTCTCACAAAGGTGTGATTCCGTCCTGTTTAGGTTTCGTTAACTAAGTCTCAGTAGGTTTTGGAGTTCTTACTGGGACTTCAACTGACTGCCCTGGCAACTTGAACCTTACCTCTAGGTTGAGATCACATTTTATACCAACTGATGAAATACCAATACAGAGAAGGCAGCTGAAATAAACTTACAAATAGATCACTCACATGCGAGTGGTATAGTAAAATGTGAATAATGCACACATCACTATCGTAGTCGTAAGCCCAGTCAAACTATTACTCGTATCTATTAACCCAAAAGTTCCTATGATCTATGTCTATCTCAACTAATTTTAATTATAATAGTAACTTATGGAGCTAATTTAGTGTTTTCAAAGAATTGAGAGCACTTTGAAAATGGTCATATAAATACTTGTTTGTATTTTCGACTCATCATTATTTTTTACACCTAGTGAGACTATCCAGGTTTTCGAATCGTATTAGGTAAGACAATGTCCGAACTTATTGTTAGCTGGTAAGAACTTGAGAGTTCTGATTACTCGGGATCAAAACAATTTAGATTTGTTTATTAATTCTCAATGTTGGCTAAAAATTGTGATGACTACGCTTGCCTCCGAATACCCTGGTACGGCCGAGATTGGAGAATCCGCTCTCTCAAACTGCTCTCACATAACCCCGTGTATATATAGCCTCTGCTAAGGATGTCCTAATCACTGCCTTCTTGTGGCGGGGATGTTGTTTGTGAAATTGAGAGGACCAAAAGCGAATGTCTGGCACCTGAACCAAATGTTCAGCCTTAGTATTACTCAATTGTTGGTTCTACTATACAACCGTAGACCAATACAGTCTTAAGATAAGCAAACCGATATCTTTCATGAGACACAAGTTGGCAATAGCTATACAGCAGGACCCATACTCGGCATTTTTTTAGTAATATGAGTACCACATGATTTATAAGCCGAAAAGAAATAATTTCGTCTAGCTCCATAAAAATAACTGTATGGTCAAATTCGCAGTGAAATTATCACTGCCCATTTTGATAATGACAGTTAGTGAGCAGTTTATATAATCATTCAGTCAGTGACAACGTAGGACTAGGCACATATATGTATCGATCCGAGTTGCCATAACTCATTAGCATAGCATGATCAACATCGAATTCATAGTAGTTGATCCAATGGTAGTAATATGTAAATGGAAGATTGCATATAGGAATATAGTACAGGAAGAAAGATATGAAGTGATTCTAATCTCATAGTTTGAGGGAAGACTGAGTGTATACATCTGCGCCATTGTGATCGATTCTGAGCCATGTCACCAAGAGTCCGCAACCAAGTAGTCTGCATCTCCCAACATGGCTGATGCCGTTTTGGTTTGGCCGCCCTTAACTTTCTTCCAATCATCTCCAATACCGGTTAGCATCGCACGTCGTGGTAATCGGCGTTCAGGCATACGCAACACAGGGCCAACCATCTCAGTCGATGAAGATTCATAACCTCATCAACTGATTTACCATCATACTCCTAAACTATTTGACTTATTTGTAATAACAAGGATGATTGTAATAACCTACTAGTAATATTGACAGTTTGCTGTTAAGTATAAACGCAGTTGTATTTATTCGTTATCTTTCACCAAACTTTAAGCTTAGTGTTATTTTATTCTTCGATCTGATTCATTTGCCGTGAACTACTTAGGTTTAATCTTAATAACTATAATGGATAGTAGTATTCGAATTTTCCCTTCATATATTTGCACCTCGTGTTAATTACCTATCTTGGTTACATTAATATGATTTGTGGCAACTTTTAGATTGATACAAATCCATACTAGGTCTCATGCTGTGAACTTCTGACGGTTATATCTTGAGAGACGTCAGATAACAACGTAAATCGAGGTAGACGAGACAGTTTTTAAATCTATGACCCAAAAATTGAATCCTGAGAGCCCATTGAGATTGTAATTCTTTAATATCATATGAAAAGAAAATAACCACAAGCAGTCTGTTAACTTATTTTATCAGTATAAACACTAATTTACATGATAATGAATAATAATAGTAATCATGAAGACATATACACAAATATTTAACAAATCAATTTATTGCTGGTTATTCATCGTAATCCTCGTTGTCGTCGGCTTCTTCCTCCTCTTGTTCTTCGTCTGATTCATAATCTTCTCCGGGTGTACGACCATCAGCACCATCATAATCACTATCATCGCTCTAAATGAAAAAAGTGGAAAGGAAGATCTAGAAAGTTTTCACAGGATGATATATGATTTCCTAGAAAATTGAACTAAATCTTGAATCATAAGGTAGTATTCTCAAGTACTAGACACTGATATGTAGATATAACTAATCCTATGACAAAGCCTAAAACCATAAATGCTACACTGTGATATTGGCTTGTATGTAACCATTCAATGTAACGCATTTCATTAATTAATTTCGTTCCAACTAACTTCATTGGAAGAGAGGTTCATACATGGACTGACGAGTCTTAAACCTTGATCGGAAAATATGATACAGCATTTGACTTTTCAGATCACTAGATTCCTACTCAGTAACTTAAAGATAATGTGCTTGTTCCAAGACCTGTGTGTCCTAGACTCGAGCCAACATAGGTTTGTGAGTGTACAACACTAAATAGTTTCAAACTAGAATGGAAAAGGTATTCGGGGCTACATGGTGTTTTAGTTTATATCAGTGTATGGTGAATGCTAATCGCAAATGTAAAACTGAGAAAAATCACCAAATATATCAATTTAAGAAAAAGATTTTGCTTACGTCATAATCTTCATACTTTGATTCATTTGCATTATATCCAGAACTAAGGACATTTACTGACGTCGTTGTTTTGCGATGACGATCATCAAAATTACTTACATCTGGTCTAGCAAGTGTTATCGGTTTGGATAAAACACTAGATAGTGTACTGCCAACTGGCTTATGTTTTAAAATATTATGACCGTCATCGTTCTTTTGCGGTGTAACATTTTCATTACTATATGATTTGTTGTTACTAGCCGGTTGGTTGGGTTTTTTATCTGGAGCTTCTACTTCAGGTGCATAATTGCTATATTCATTCAAATCGTCGACATCAGATCTGGATCTCTAGAAACAAACCAATAAACAAAGAGAATGCTTAGAGGTGATACGAACCGAAATGAACTAAATACTTATTTACGTTTGAATTGCAGTTCCGCTGTACCTATTTTGTCTGGTGTATAGTTACCGGACAAATGGTGGTTCTTAAATAAGGATGATTAGTTAGTCAGTCATAATCAACATATAGCCTGTAACGAATGTTTGTTAGCCAAAGTTACCATACCACATAACTACGAAGAGATGTAACTAACAAGATGAGTAGTAAAACAGTATAAACAAAAATAATATTGATGATATTTGGGAAGTGATAAAAGGCTTAAGAGCTAGGCTTGACAGTCAAGTTTTAATTAATTGAAGTGACCCATAAACTGATATTCTCTAATCGTTTACGACAGTTTATGTTATGCTTTTCTTCAATTTTTCGTAAAAGCATATCATTTTTTTACATAAAAGCCCTAGTCTTCCGGCTAATGGACCTGTCTTTGATTACAGACTCAGACGGTTACATAAATAATCCGGTACTGTGAGTAGTCATCACTCGGCAACATCGTAATGTTGAATCTTATCAATCGATCAACATTCTTTTCTTCCATTTTAACAACAGAAACTTCATTCCTAAGATCACAAAACCATCCTTCACAACGGAAAAATTGAACGCCACAGAAAAGTTTGATAATAGGGGATGATAATATGCACCTAATTAGTACCCTCTTAGTAAAATGTAGAAAAGCATGAATGATAAGTGAATTTTGATCTAATCGTACTTTGATAATACATAAATAGTGAACCCTACTTACTTTAGGAGGATGCAAGTCTACTGGTTCAGGCATTTGATTTAAAGCTTGCTTACGTCTTCCACGTTCTACCTGAAATTCGTTACAGACAAACGCTTAAAATTACTGGAGTAGCATTTGGAGTCGTGACTTTTGGTTTGGTTTCTGTATCCGCAGCCTCATTTTCAAAGGAAATATCTCCAAGACCAGCATCCTATGATAATGAGACATAAATAAATCTAGATACCTGAAAAGCCCGAGTTTTTAGCTTTTGTTTTATCTGGTTAATGGTTTTTGTTTCGATAGCTTCAGCTACCTTTGACAGATCAGATCCAAAACGTCCAATAGCAGCTTTAAGATCTTCAACTTCCTTTTGTGACCATTTCCCGCAGGTCTTGGAATCCCCATCATTTTGTTGCGCTTGGAACTGCTTAAGATCTAAAGTAAGTTGGGCCAATCGACCGAACGCCACTGATGCTTGCTCGAAAATCTCGGCTACTCTCGAAAAGTTAGCCATTATCCAAAAAGTGATGGGAGGTTTGGAAAGCAAAGACTTTTATTGAAATAGTAGGTATAAAGTATTTCAGAAATAAGAACTTTAGTATGTAGAATAGGCGAATGGATTTGGATTAGGTAGTGCTGAATTTTAGTCACTGTCCGTACTCCCCCATTGAAATTTATTGCAGGATGCTGAAAAAGAAATGAAAAACCAAAATACTTCGGTGACCTGTTTAATCAGTTTGAGGCTATAGGTTAGCATCAATGGAATAGACAGTATTCACCGTTCCACGAAAATAAACGATGCATAGTCCAAAAATATCAGGTAGCAAATTTAAATAAGGCCAGGACAATAAATTGATGCAGAATAATATGGACTCATTATATTTCGTGGTTTTTCGTTGGCTGCTTAAAACCAAATATGTGTTGGAATTTTACATTGAGATAAGAAATAATATGGAACAATTGACATAAATGAATGTAAATAACTAGAATGACAAAGGTTAACTAACTATATATATAGTTTGCTTGAGTGAGCAGTTCGTTTCCCATGCCGCCGTCAGTTTTGCTGAGGAATTTAATACGTGATGAACTATTCCAGCAATTTTGTCTCCTTTGGAACGTAAGTATAAGAAGCAAGTTTTACGTGCGCGGTCAAGAAAAATTGTTCAAAGTAATGCCTGGATGATCAACTCGCTCCAGTCACTATTTGCCTATGTGAAAACGCATATCCGGTGAAATTCATCCATAAATATGCAAAAACCAATCCTTAGGCAAAGTATGATAGAGTAGAGAAAAAACTTGCTTGTCAGATCCGCCCGCCGTTTCGTTTCGACGACCTTGAACGGCAAGAGAAGGTCATTCCATATTTCAATTGCTGTAGGCTTGTTGAATGTTCGTTTGGTCACATGAATATTAAGTGTTCTCATATTTAAGTAGTCTTTCACTGCAGTAAAATCACTGCGAAAAGCATTAATTTAGCTTTATCTGTATTGTAGCGTATTCGTTGACTCTATTGTTTCAGTTTCAGTTCGGGAAGGGCAGTAGGCCTGTTGGCCTGTGTTAGTCCTGGCAATGGTGGTCCCTCAGTTGATCCAAATTTCGTTTAAAAGAATCGACAGATGGAGCCTCAACCACGTGCTGAGGTGGTGAATTCAGCTCGTTGGTGATTCGACGGGAAAGTCGATAGTCACCTGACAAGTAATTTGTTCTTGGCTTGTGAACTTTTTTGGAGTGTTCTCGTAAATTCTCTTTTTTGCAAGACAAGAAGAATGAGGGCATATCAAGTGCAAATTTATCACTAAGCAATTTGAAAACTGTAATCAAGTCGCTTCCAGTTCTGCGATATAACAACGGGAAAAGGTTGAGCTTGGCCAGTCGAGCTTCATACGGAAGCTTCGCTATTCCAAGAATCAAATTAGTTGTCGTTCTCTGAACCTTCTCCAGAAGCTCACTGTCTTTTTTAAGCGGGGGCTGGCCCCTTGTATGCAGTACTCAAGTTTAAGACGTACGAACACTGTATACAAAGTCAAAAACGTCTTAGCGTCGACATGACTAAAAGCCTTACGTATTGACCATCACATTCTAAAACCTTTGGCGGTTATTGCACGGCAGTGTGCAGTGGTCCTTAAGTCTTGGCTGACGATGACTCTTAAGTCATTATATGTCTGGATGACAGGTAGCTCAGTATTATTAATCGTGTATGTATCTGTACCTTGATGACCGATATGCATCACAACACACTTGGAAGCATTAATCGGCAACTGCCATGTTCGAGACCATTCAGATAACTTCTTCAGGTCATTTTGAAGTTCTGAGCTATCACTCTTACATCGTATCGCTTTCCATATCTTGACATCGTTAGCATATAGCAAGACCGATGATGATGGGAGACAATGAAGTTCATTTACATACAAGAGGAATAGCACTGGCCCCAAAACTGTACCCTGGGGCACTCCACTAAGCACAGTTTCCCAGCTAGATAACTTTGAGTTCACCCGAACTCTTTGTTGAGGTCCAACTAAAAAGCCTTTTATCCACATCAATAAATTGCCTCCAATCCCGACTTTTCTTAACTTATATAACAGCCGGTTGTGCGGAACTTTGTCAAAAGCTTTACTGAAATCAATGAAGGCGACGTCTACATGTAGCTTTTGGTCCTTAAGAGCGCACTTGCTTTCACGAGCCACTAATAACTTAGTGAGACAAGAATAACCTATTCTGAAGCCGCGCTGCTTCTTCCGAGAGGATCCGGTTTTTATCAAGATACTTAAACAGCTCCTTCCGAATAATCTTTTCTAATATTTTAACAGCCACACTAGTTAGGCTAACAGGGCGGTAGTTCTCAGGTTTGGGTTTCGTACCTGTTTTTAAGACAGGACTTACTATGGCGTTTTTCCAGTCTTTCGGTAAACGACCCTGCGTAACGGATAGTTTAAAGCATGTGTAGTGACTCACGTCTATTACGAGAACACGACTGGTTCAATAAAAACAATTATTATTATAAACAGTTGTACCAGTGTTTGTTTTAATGTGCTTTTGTTTAACTGTGCTAATGACAGCTATATTGGGCTTCCATTCTTGTTCTTACACTTCGATTGTAATTTCGCGCGAATTCGGTTACTTTCTGTAACCAAGCTTGTATCCTGAAACGATCTCGGTATCCTTTCGATACCACGAGATCGCCAGTGAATAAATCTTGACTTGGTCCATTTTCTGCCTTCTGATATTTGGCTTCTCGGGGTTTTTATGGAGTCAATTGGAACGAGCTTCTTGGTAGCGGTGTTCACAGTCAATCTCAACTCGACGCCACGCTACAATTGGTGATCCCAAAGTTTGGAACACGCCTCAACCTCTGGTGAAATCTTCCAAAGAAGTCAATTCGGTGAGTCTATAGTTTATCTATCCACGTCTGTCGTATATTTTCAAATTAATTTTTAATATATAATATACACGACATGACGGATAGCGACAAGAGTACTATTAATGTTATAGACTCAGACGTACAGGCCATTCACTTTCGACCTGTACCATTCATTCCCCACGACCCAGAGGTTTGGTTTGCTGCATTAGAGTCCCAGTTTGAGACTCGTCACATCACGAGCCAAAGGCAAAAGTACGCCTTTACTCTCGAATCTTTACCCGGGGACCACTTAGTAGCTGTTCGTGAGGTCGTCCTCAATTCCAACGTGCCCAATGTTTACGATCGCCTCAAAGAGGCAATTCTCCGACATTTCCTCCCATCAAGGGAGGAACGATTGAGGACATTATTAGCACGTCACCCCTTGAGTGATGCTAACCCTAGCCACCACCTCACGCGCCTGCAATCCCTTGCAGGATCAACAGCATCCGACTCGGAAATAGTTAAAGAATTGTGGCTCGAGTCTCTACCAGCCCATATCCAACCTACTGTGACGGCACTGCTCGAGAAGTCACCGCTTAACCAGGTAGCCCTCATAGCAGACAAAATTTTGGCGAGGACTATTAATAGAGACAGCTATTTAGTTGCTTCAACGGCACGTCCTAAAGTAGACATGGAGCCCGGTCATTCCTCAGCTCATGGCGACAGGGACGGGTGTCTCCACACACGTCTTAGTTTTCGAAATCGTTGTTACGTACCCCAACCCTACATCGCACGAGCTCGCTCAAGTTCTCGAAAATCCGTCACCACTCGCCCAAAAAGGCATCTTCCAAGCCATGCCAAAAGGCGGTTTCGGAAGCGAGTGACAGTCGATGCTGGTTCCATAGGTCCTTCGTGTCTGGCGCCCGCCGTTGTCAAGCACCATGCTCATACAAGGCGGGAAACGCCAGCGCCGGCGAGTAAAAGCGGCCGTACTCGCCGGCCCTTCACCCCAGGTTGGTCGCCTATTCTATGTGCACGATTACCGCACAAACGCTAGGTTCCTGGTAGACACTGGGGCCCAAGTTTCTGTCGTACCACGAGGTAGCAGCAAGTCACAAGCCACAGTGCTTCGACTAAGCGCTGCGAATGGCTCAGTCATTCCTACCTACGGTACACGACAACTCGTGGTCAACCTGGGCAACCGACGACGGTATCTGTGGACGTTCATCATTGCTGGTGTTTCCACAGCTATACTAGGTATCGATTTCCTACAGCACTATGAATTGCTTGTCGATTCACGTAGGCTGCAGCTGATCGATACTTCGTCGAACAACAAATTCATGGGCTGTAAAGCCCACATGAACGCGTACCGAATCCTCGGCACTTTTTACTCGCGTGACGATAAATTCCACGCTTTATTCGAGAAATTCCCCGTACTCACTAAACCACTCGAGGAGCTTCCATCGGTGACCAATCGTGTGGTACACCACATAGTCACCCGCGGACCGCCAGTCACGGCACGACCTCGCCGACTGGCACCGGACAAATTAGCTTTTGCTAAGCGTGAGTTTGACAATTTACTAGCTACTGGTATTAAACGTCCTTCTCACAGTCCATGGGCCTCTCCTCTTCACATGGTGCGCAAAAAAGACGGGGTTAGTTGGAGACCATGCGGCGACTACCGAGCTCTAAACGTAGTTACGCGCTTTGATAGCTACCCCATCTCCCACATACACGACATCACGGCATCGCTCAAGGGCACGACTATCTTTTCTAAGATCGATCTGGTATGAGCATATCATCAGATCCCAGTCGCTCTTGAAGATATCGAAAAAACTGCTATCACGACTCCTTTCGGTTTGTTTGAGTTCCTACGAATGCCATTTGGATTACGGAATGCTGCTCAAACTTTTCAAAGGTTTATCGATAGCATTGTACGAGACCTCGATTTTGTTCACGTCTATATTGATGACCTGCTAATCGCATCATCAAACGTAGATGAACATTATCAACATCTTACGCTATTATTCCAACGCCTTTCGGATAATGGAATAGTAGTTAACCCAGAAAAATGCGAGTTAGGTAAACGAGAAATAATATTTCTGGGTCATGTTATCAACCAAGAGGGTATTCTACCTTGTGAGGACAAAGTGCAAGCAATAAAGGAGTACAACGAGCCGTCCTCACTCAAGGAACTGAAGGCTTTTCTCGGTTTGGTTAACTTCTACCGTCGTTTCATCCCACACGCGGCAGAACGGTTACGACCACTAACCGACTTACTTCGCGGCAACCGACGCAGATTAGAAATGAACGATTCTGCACGTATTGCATTCACAGAGATCAAAATGGCTCTTGCGCAAGCCACTCTTCTCGCCCATCCCGATCCATCAGCCACGCTTAGTATAGCGGTTGATGCATCCGATGTCGCTATAGGAGCAGTCATGCAACAAAATATCTCCGGTAGTTGGCAACCTCTCGAGTTTTTCTCACGACGCCTTACTTCCATGGAGACGAGATATAGCGCTTTTGGTCGCGAGATGTTAGTAGCCTACTGCGCCATCAAACACTTTCGGCACGCAGTAGAAGGACGACATTTCATCTTATTCACCGACCATATGCCCTTAACGTATGCTTTGCATACCAAGTCTGACCGCTACTCACCACGAGAGTGCAGACATTTGGACTATATCTCTCAGTTCACGACAGACCTTCGTCACATCAAAGGCGAGTCGAACTGTGTTGCCGATGCTCTATCACGAATCCAAACGAATGCAGTTACTCTGCCGGTGCTCGATCTCCCTGCTATGGCCGCTGCCCAAGCAAACGATCCCAGTTGTACCAAAGCACCACACTCTACGTCCCTTCAGTATCAGGAAGTACCTTTAGCCACGACTTCTGGCACCATTCTATGTGATACTTCTACCGGCCTTCCTCGACCCATCGTACCCTCTACTTATCGCCGTCTCGTATTCGATGCCCTGCATGGATTATCTC